CTCCTCCTCCTCCTCCTCCTCCTGCTGCTGCTGCTCCTGCTCCTATCGTCATTCTCCTTCTCCTTGCCATCTCCTTATCCTGCTACTGCCACAGTCCGCTTTCTCTCCTCATCTTCTTCTCCTCCTCATCTCCTCCTAGTGTCACTGCCCGTCCTCTCCTCCTCTCCTCGTCTCCATCTGGTGTCGCTGTCCACCCCCTTTTCTCCTACTAATGTCATTGTCCCCCTCCTCATCTCCTTCTGCTGTTGTCATCTCCCTCCTCCTCTCCTCCTCTTTTCTCCTACCCCACTCCCTACACCAGCCTCACCATCTTCCTCCTCCTACTTGCACATTTGATACCTGCTGCTTCGGGTGTCTTCTGTTTTTTCTTATGTTAGCATGTTGTTAGTGGCAACAGGGATTCACAAGGACACTGTGACAGACAGAGGTGGACCTTCCGACTCACTTCCCCTCCTTCCGTGACATCTCCTGAATGTCCCCACATGCTGCCCCACCCACTTCCACCTCGTCTTCTCCTCCTCACTACCTCCCCATCCTCCTCTCCCTCTGTGCGTCGTCTACTACTGTGGTATCATCTCCTCCAATTCCTCCTCGTCATTGTCTGGGTTCGGCACACACACACACACACACACACACACACACACACACACACACACACACAGAGAGAGAGAGAGAGAGAGAGAGAGAGAGAGAGAGAGAGAGAGNAGAGAGAGAGAGAGAGAGAGAGAGAGAGAGAGAGAGAGAGAGAGAGAGAGAGAGAGAGAGAGAGAGAGAGCAATTTTTGGGCTGCAAAGTCACCGGCTCTCTCTCTGTCTTCGACTTGTAGTGGAAGAGTCAGCAATTTTTGCGCTGCGAAGTCACCGGCTCTCTCTCTCTCTCTCTCTCTCTCTCTCTCTCTCTCTCTCTCTCTCTCTCTCTCTCTCTCTCTCTCTCTCCCCCCGCTTCCCGGCTTGTAGTCGAAGATTCATTCTCATTCCGCACATTTGTGAAGAGCCCACATGCGTGGTGGTGGTGGTGGTGGGGGATATATAATATATAATATCACAGCCCCTCGTTTGTTGTCCTCTTCTCTCTCTCTGCCTACAGTTTACCGGGCAGTTCTGTTTGTGACGATATATATATAAAATAGATATAATATATATCGTCAAATAGAACTGCCCGGTAAACCGTAGGCAGAGAGGGATATATATATATATATATATATAATATATATCGTCACAAACAGAACTGCCCGGTAAACCATAGGCAGAGAGAGAGAAGAGGACAACAAACGAGGGGCTACGCTTGGGGCTCAAATTTACCAGCTTGTAAATTTGTGGCCTTATCGTGTCGTACAGAAAGCCCCGCTTGGCAGACCACATTTCAGAGAATATCTTAGGAAACTTCCCCGGAAGGTCTTATCCTCTTGTCCAACTTATCACCACAAACCCACAACATGAAAGGTCTAGTGCTGTCAAAAGCCTCCAGTGGAACGACCTCCAGATCTGACCACGTGCGAGCAGTTCACCACCATACCCGCCATCCCATAAGACCATTCAATCACCCCACTTGGATTACCTGCTTGTCAGGCCTGCGCAGGAGCTGCATTGATAACAGCAATCTTGTCGCCCTGATTGGCATATCGAACATCTTGGGCCTGTTCAGATGTCTCATCTTCGCCAGCATGGCAATCAGGTTGAATAAACCTATCATCGTGACAAAAGATACGAGAGCAACGGCATCGCTATGGAAACCTCTAGGGGGTCAGAGACTCAGAGGAAGGGGAAAGAGGGTTAGTCAGCAAAGCTGAGGTGCAGGCAAGCAGACGAAGTTATGGGTAGGACAGAAGGTCCAAAGGAAGTGTAGTATCCGACTGCAGAGGGGACAGCCCGACTCTCTGCAAATGAATCCAACATCCTTTCATCTGACCAGTGCCAAAGAAGGAAGAGATGTGGGAAAGCAAGCGAAGTAACCCGAAGACGGGCGGGCGCACAAAGCAGGAGTGCAAAGAAGGTGTGAAATACAGAAAGGAGCACAGGGAAACTGAAGGTCAAAAGCACAAAAAGGAACAAAAAAGCGGGCAACAGGGGGGGCTCAATGCACAAGTGCAATACACGGAAAGCACAAAGTATGACTGTCGGATGCTTGTGCTTGTTGTTCGGCATCTAAGGGTTAGAACTTAGACGGTGAGCCTGCGGTGCCTCGATTCACAGCATGCGCATATCCTGCAGCAAACCAAGCAAACTTGCATTTCAGCAATTTAACAGTGCATCTACAGTACACTGAAAGCAAAAGTCAGGAGAGGCGCGCGATGCCAGAAAAAAGGGTTGCAAGGAGAGCCCATGGTACCTCAATTCCCAGCGCGCAACATACGGTGCAGCAAACCAATCAAACTTCCATCTCAGATTTTTTTTGAAGGCACGATCGTGAAAAACCGAAGAAAAGAATCAGCATGGGAATACCAAGTATATCCTTCATCGGTGCACCGCTTCTCGAAAACAGATACCAAGCTGAGAAGCACTGGAGTCGCAACTGAAGTACACAGAACCCACAAACGTGTGTGTGCACACTGTCATGTTCACTGTCGACTTTACAAAAGAGTAAAATACACTTTCTTTTTTTTTTTCTTTTTTTTCTTTTTTGGAAAAGAAGCTCCAATATTGGTGGGGAGCATCACCTGCTAGAAAACGGAGGTAAAATACACGCATTGACTATTTCACATGTCATATAAGGGATACGCGAGAGACAGCTCTGTAGCCAGGCCACCACAAGTGGAGTTGAGCAGGGCAGTATAACAGAGAGGCACCAGAATTCTAGAGTACTTCAATCAGGCTAAGTTAGGCAGGGTTAAGGGACGATACATTCTTCCCACAGGAAGTAATCAATGTCCGTCCTTCGGTCCTTCACACCATAAGGGGGAGGACCGTGTGAGAGTACTCAATGTATCTTTTCTGACTTGCCCGTGGAATAGGAACCGGACTGACGCTCCCCAGAATGGACAAGCAGCCAGAACCATAAGGTTCTGTTTTGCTCAAACAAAACAGAAACAGAACAAAAATTGTACATAATGTAAGGTAATACGATGGCTTTGACAGAAAACTGGATTCCTGATCCACACTAACCATCCCCAATACATCTACCCAATCATGCCCCTTTTGGTATGAAGGACCTCTAAGCAACCGGGTCAAGCAAAATGTGTGGACAAATTGGACAATGGGTCCAACATTGATTGCCAGTCAAAGAATCATCTGAAATGAGCCAAGTACTCGTCAACTTCAACCTCACATTCATCAATGAACATGCACGTGCGAGAGTTTACAAGCGAGAAGCCAAATCGAGATACGATCAACACTTGAAGATGTCCTCTCCAATATTATTATCAATATACAAGAATGTTTCTCCACCAGCTCCTCCACCGCACACATACGCACAACGGACCTCAACCGGATATCGGCTGTGGCTTCTCCCCTCTTCTCTCTCTCTTCCTTTGACTCTCTCTGGCTCACTCTCTCTCTACCCTGGATCATTACCTTGGATACACCCACTCAGGTAGTTTACACCTTGGCGGCTATGGCCGCCGTTCTCCTGATCTACCGCTAGCCTAGCTATGGAGTATGTCTCAAGCGCCCGAAGAAGACCTCTTCTTCTTCGGGCGCACAGTGCCCAAGTTGCCTTAACGCACAAGCCGCAGCAGCGCTTCTGCATCTCGCAACTGAACAAGTGACGAGCCGCTGCACTGTAGCAGCTAAATATAGGACTTGGCTTCGCTGGGCTTAGCCTGGCTTGGCCTGCTTCAGACTGCTACCGGTCGGCCGCGGCCTGTCTGCTGCAAACAGTTCATCGGTCCGGTAGCTTCCAGACTTTCCTGGGACATACTGCAAATTTGGAATTGGGACTGTCGGACCGGACTGGACGCTTCTGGACTTTTCTTGTCGGGTACCGGATGGACTCCTACCGACCTACGAGGCTTCGGTACCGACACCTACCGACCGATGACGCTTCGGCCTCTAGACCCTACGGGACGGCCCTGGGACTTGGGACTTGTCGGGACCGTGGGACCGGGACTGGGTGTCTGCAGCATGAATCCTTCCACATCATCAGATGTAAGCAAAATGTGTGGACAACGGCTCCGACATCGATTGGCATTATCCCGCCTTCACATTCAGCCCCCCAAGGCAGGACTTCGACCCGTTCGTTGGCCACTGCTAAGCAGACTCCCACCCGAAACAGATACAGGTTTAGCCCAAACTTTCTTTTATTGGCATCAAGCAGCCAAGCCGAACAAGCTAACATCCTTCTGTCATTCGACACCCTAACTGCACACAGCCCCATCTTACGCATATTTTGTCCATGCCCCTGTTCCACTGCCATGATACTGTCTCACCTGTTCTTAGCAGACAACATTCTTTCCCTGCCACTCTTCCATCGCCATCTCCATTTCTTGGCAGGCAACATTTTTTCCCCTCCTACTTTCTTGTCTTTTTTTCACTATACTGATGAGAATAGATCACAGCTTTCATATTTTGCTGATGCCTCTAATCGTAACATTAGAGTCTGCCGGCAATATCAGGAAAACATTCATTTACATTGCTCATTGGTCGGATGGATCAATCGCCAGGGAAGTCCTGTGCTGACTAGGAAGAGGAACCATTAGAGAGTAAGGAAAAAAAAGAAGATACTAAAGATAGATAGAAGATATGGAAACAGTTTTGAAAAGTAAGTTCAGCAACGAGTCCCCCTTAAAGCACCGCTTTGACAAATAATAAGTTTTTCAAAGACTTTTTACCTTTTTTTTTTCTATGTTCACAAGTTGTCCGATGGCAGGACGCCCTTGCCGGACAGTCAGGGGTCCCGGACGTCCGGGCCTGAACAACTCCATTTTTTGGCAGTTAAAAGCACCAAAAAAATAAAAAAATAAAAATGGGGGTGTCTTTATTTTTATTTTTATTTTTTTAATTTGATAATGCATTTCGATGTCATCCCACGGTAAAAGTTATTCAGTTTATTTTTCTGCATAACATAGTTTGTTTGTTTGTTTGTTTGTTTGTTTTTTTCTTCTTTTTTTTTTTTCTTTTTTTTTCTTTTTTCGCGTTCAGGCTCGGACAGACTGCCCGGGGAGGATGTCCAACCGGTTGTCCCGATCGGACAACCCCGGATGGTCAGGGGGGTCCTGGATGTCCGACCAGGTAACCTAGCTTTTTTTAAAATATTTTTTCTACTGAACTTGAAAATAAAAAAATAAAAACAGTATCCCTCTCCACACTGCTGGTGTCATTCCTTATCTTACGCCGGCCTTGGAAAATATGTGCAGGGCAAACCCAAGAAATTACATGGAATAGCTTGCACATCCGCACACTACCAAACACTCTACCACCTCCACAACATCCACCATCTTCTCCTCCCCTCATTCCTCCCCTCATTCCTCCCCATCTTCACCCCTCCTAACTCCCCCCCATGATGGTGACTGCCCTTGCTTTTTTTTTTTTTCTTTTTTTTTTTCCTTGTTCCTATTTTGGCCTGGAATTGCTAAAAGAGCAATACAAAGCCAACAAGTTAAATGAAACAGCGTGCAGATCAGCGTGCAGATTCGCACCACAGGAGAATACGTCGTATTACTGCATGCACAATCGTGTACTAGGGAGGGAGCTCCACGAAAACATCAACGATGCTTTAGAAACTCGAAAACCAACCAACCAAAAAAAATTAAAAAGCAGAGACCATCACAGAGTACCTCAGTGTTCACTTACCAAAAATAGACTGTTGACTTTTTCTGCACTGGTCGACCTTCAAAACATAAGTGCTGATAGACCTGTAGCGAGCCACAGGTGCACAACTCTTCTAGTACACATTCCTGCATACAGCGGTCTTTATTCTCCACATTCGAACCCATTCGCCATAATGCTCACAGAGGGCCAGTGATGTTCAGGCATACCAAGTGTCTTTGAATTACAGCTACAATCATTCTTTTTTGGCAGACAATCACCGCGTCACTGGCAATGCTATCCTATTATAGACCTTGTCGACGTGCAAACCATAGCAGGCACCCATTCGGACAATGGCAAATACCCGTTGACACCAACGCACTGGGGTTCTTGGATAAGCCCGCCCCCTGCCTCAAGCACTGGTTTGCAAAAGCCTAGAGATGTTCACATTTTGCCCCTCGTACTTCTTCAGAAAAGGATGGCTCTGTCCATTGTCGATCACAACATTGTGTACACAACACACAAAGGATGGTATACGTTAGGACAGTAGCAAAGTGGCCAAAAAAAAAAACACATAATGAAGCCAAAAAAAAAAAAAATCACAAAGAACAGAAGCAAAGGAGGCTAGACTTTCCTCTATGACATCCATTAAAATTGGAACAACACAGAGAAAATTAGCATGGTCCCTGCACAAGGATGACATGCATCAAATGAGAAATGATCCATTCATTGGTTTGGTAGGGCCTATCCCTTCGTCCCTTCCAACCTTTGCCGGGGGTTAGGAACAACCCGGACTGAAGCAAAAAGGAAAGATTTCTCGGATTACCCAGCGGTGCTTTGACGCGGGTGGAGGCTGGTGTAAGGACATATACAAGGCCATATATATGGGTAGGTAGTCGGTACTAGGTAGGTAGTGGGAGATATAATTGAGAGAACAATATAGCTAAGTTTAAAAAATAGAGGAATGATCCACATTAACATTTTTTTTTTTTAAAGAGGAGCATGCTTGCATCGCTGCCGACCGCCGACCGTATTGCAGCCGATCAGTCAGAAAACAACCATCCACAATTTTTTTCTTAGATCTGAATTGGAAGCTGTACCGCGCTTGCTGAGTACAGCCCAAATCCGCTGAGAAACTTTTGGGGATGGGGGGTTGGG